AACAATGCTTTTAAAAAAGATTTATTCCCAGTGCAGGCTGGAAAGTGTAGATAATGGAACCATGTAGTTGCCCTATCAAGTTTGCAGTGTTTGAAAAGCAGCGTAGGCAGTTTATCCAGTACCATCCATATGGGTCAACATTGAGTAATTTTGGAAAAGACTTACCAAAGAAAAAAGAATTTACAGAGGGAAAGAAGAAAAGCAGATCCAAGTCTGGAAATTGCCTCCACAATACAGACACTTTTTTCTTTCTCTTCTCCTCCCTCCCCCCCAGTTTAAGTAAAAGCAAAATAACATTCCACAGTCATCAAAGCATGTTCTCTTATCACAGTGTAGGCTTTGGGTTAACAGCAAACTTCCTGATCTTTCTCTATTGTCTTTACTAAACCAGATCACATTGTCTTTACTAAACCAGATCATAAAAGGCAAGAAGGAACAGTTTTGTCTAGAGCACTTCAGGAGTTAAAAACATTATTTTTTGCTTAAGGCAGTGGGCCAGATCTTCAAACATCTGGTTTAGTTCCTGCCTTTTCCATAAACTTCCCTTGTGACAACATATATTTGCACTTCAATTCTCTATGTACTAGGCTGGGATTGTGGTGTTTTATTGCTTTATGGTGCTGGTCAGTTCATGGAGTCTTCGCAAATACCTGGTGGCCCAGTTTGGTGGAAATTGGACTTTAAGCTGTGGACAATGGTTGATTACCTGATATTTTGAGTATCCAGTTCCAGCTCTATCACTGTTTTCTGTGGCTTGAAATTCTCTCTCTTAGTATTGCCATCTGCAATATGAGAATAATACTGCTTTCTTACTTCCAGTGGTAGTTGTGTGGTAAGTTGTTTGCAATGCTTCCTAATGCTTAGACAAGAAATGTGCTGTAACGGTGGAAATTATTTCAATCACGTGAACTCCATCCACTAAAGTATCTTTTGCGTAAGAGAGTCCTTTCACTGTCAGTTTTGCTACTTCTGCTCATGGAGCCTTTTCCCTGTCGTTTACAGTATGAAAAAGTTCATTCAGACTTCACACATTATTGTGTCCCAACTTTCAGATGCAAGATCCAGTTGCAACAGCGTGAAAGACGAGGAATGAGTAAATGATCTTGGTCAAAATGCAGTTAAGATTTTATCTTAACAGTGCTTTTGGTGTCCAGGGAAAGACATTGACCTGTGGGAAGTCTTCCAGTTTGTGCCTAATTGGAATGCTGGCCCTTCGCCAACAGCCCAGCAGAAAGTTAAGTTGTGAAACTGGAGAAATATTTGAGTTAACTCCTGACTCAGTGTTGCAGGGAACTAAGTTTCCTTACTATCCACCTTTCTTTCCAAAGATTTTATTGCTTCTGTGGCTTCCTGATAATTTGTCAGCAAGATTATGATCTCAGCCTACAAAGCACTGGGAAAATCGGTCCTAGCTGAAAATGACATGATGTGAACTGACAAGTTTCCATGAATTCTGCTTTTCTGTATGGGAGCTGATTGTTTGGAACAAATGCTGCAGACATCTCCATTAGGCTGATAATTTCTGTTGTGGGTTAGTTGAAGAAAATGTTTTAAATTGCTATTCAGGACCATTACTTTCCCAAATGTAAATATGCTAGTAACCCGGTCCTGTTCTTCTAGCCATGTGAATCTTTCATTTTGATCTTTCATTAAAGAACAGAAAGTATTTTCTCAAAGTTAGATTCAAATGTTGTAACAACCTGTTTATAATGTAGTATTTCTTTAAATGTGTGCTGGTCTAACTGAAGGGGTATATTTGTCTGTAATGAAGGAATTTTTTTTCACAGTAATGCAGGGTTCAGCAGTTCTGTGGAGCCCTGAGAGACAGTTTCAATATCCTCCTTGAGCCAAAAAAACAAGAGGAAAGCAAGCAAGCAGGCTTTTGGGGAACCTCCCATATGAAGACAGGCTGAGGAAGTTGGGGCTGTTCAGCCTGGAGAAGAGAAGGCTGCGTGGAGACCTCATAGCAGCCTTCCAGTATCTGAAGGGGGCCTTTACAAGTTAAAACTTAAACAGGGGAAGTTTAGATTGGATATAAGGAGGAAATTCTTTCCTGTTAAGGTGGTGAGGCACTGGAATAGGTTGCCCAGGGAGGTTGTGAATGCTCCATCCCTGGCAGTGTTCAAGACCAGGCTGGACGCAGCCTTGGGTAATATGGTTTAGTGTGAGGTGTCCCTGCCCATGGCAGGGGGGTTGGAACTAGATGATCTTAAGGTCCTTTCCAACCCTAACGATTCTATGATTCTATGATTCTATGATTTGGCTTTTCATTCCAGGGTTCTTAGAGCAATATGCATTCCACAAGCCTGCCTGTTACCAATAAACAGCACACTCTGCTTTTTGGGGACAAACATTTTCTAGTAATTTAAAGGTGAATATTTGGATTGATGAAATGATAAGCTTTCATCAATCAAAGTGTTTTGAAAGAATGAATGAGCCATCAGGAAATTATATGCATTATATTGTTATACTTTCACTAGTATAGTGAAGCACACTATATTAGAAGCACACCACACAGTGGGGTTCCTCAGGATCTCACCCATGAGTACCCCAAAGTACTCTCTGAGACAAGAAACAATGAAGGCTTTTTTCAGGATTCCCCTTTGCCCTGTGGAAATAACCACTAATATTTTGTGGTGAGTTTTGAGAAGAAGATGATCAGATAATACAACACAGTACCTGCTTCTGGAAAGCAGAATATGAAGAAAAGGTAGAAAAGAGGAAGCACCAAGGACTGGGAATGTTTGAACAAGTGCAGTGTGTATTTGATGGAAGACAAGAATCCCTTCACACCAGTCTAGCAATGCTTAGTAAATAATTAAAGGAACAGTGGTCTGATTCTAGAGCAAACCATTGCTAAGGAGCTACCCTTAATAGACATAGTTTTTAGAAAATGTCTTTCATTAGAATATCCATTATAGAAGAGGTTTGTAATATGCGAACACATGTGAGTTTTGGTAGCTGTATCAGCAGGTATAGAAAGAGATTACCTCCTTGCCTCACTTACAGCCTTAGGCTATTACAGCTATAGCCATGCTGCTACATTTTAATGCTGTTGTGGTCTCCCTAGACAAAAAGAGTATAAAGGACCAGCTTGTGAAAAATCTCCAACAACTTTAGCAATTTTTTCTGATTTACGTGAAGTGAGACTCAGGCCTGTGTTATACATCAAGTCCTTTGACTTGCACTATCAAGTCTGGTGTAGAAAAAAGGAGAGTTTCATGAATTTGTTTCAGAACAACGATCCAGATGGCTAAAGAGATTTGGACAAGTAAGAGTGGAGATTACAATGATACGGAAATGTCTAAAGTGAAAAAATAAAGTAGCATCTTGAAAGAAGATAAAAAAATAGATTAAATAATAAAGTCTGGTGACAAATATTGTAAATAAGCAGTACTTTCACATCTGAAACTGAGTACAGGGAATTTCATTCTCAAATATAGGTCAGACTTCCAGATGCTTCCTGATAATGGAGGCACTCTGTGCCTGCATGCAATTCCTCACTTAGATAATGCCTAGGAAAAAAAAAATCTGAATTCGCAAGGCAGTTGACCCTGTGTGCAGTTGTGTAGGAACAAAATTATGTACAAAGTACGCAGATTTTATCAGGGGCTTGTGTATATCATGATTTCATAGAAATGGAATTTGCTGAAGAATTGTGGTCTTGACTCTTGCTTATTATTAGATGCTATACAAAAGGGAATGAGAAGGATTTTGGAAGTCCTCAGGGAAGTCTCTATGGTGGTCATTTTGCAGACATATAGCAAGTGACAGTCCTGTCCCTAAATGAACACAGACTACACACTGGGAAGATGCACCAGAAGGTGTAAATCACAATAGTAGTTGCAACAGCTGTGACTAAAAGGAAAAAAAGAAAAAAGGTGGGGAGAGGGAGCTATAAAGCGGATAGGTTTCTAGTCTGTATGAGTGTTAAAATACCTTTGACAATGCCAGACAAATACTAAACTATGCTTTTAATGGTAGCTGTGAGAATGATGAACTCATCATCATCTGGAAGGGATCAAAGGTGAATTTGGAAAGGAAAATTCCATTTAGAAATGGTGCAATTAAGCATATAACTGCAGAGTAATTCTCTGTCTTCTACCCATGTTCATCCCACAAGCCCAGGCTGCCTTCCCTGAGAAGTGCCCTCTGCTCTTTGGCTAGTTGCCAGAATTTCTAGCTTTTGCCATACAAATGTTTCCAATAGCTGAATACAAAAAAGTATACAGAAGGCATAAAATTAATTTATAATGAGTATGAAACTAAAGGGCTTTTTTGGACTGTTTGAGTTAATGTTCAAAATATTTTTTTTAGAAACTCTTCTTTTTAAAATATAATTTAGAAATATGTCAGATTTCTAATATGCTGCTCCAGAACATCTCAAACCCAAATTCTTAGGTACACATCGAAAGTGAACGTAATAATTTTTACCTACTCATGGTCACCAATATTAGTAACATAACTGAAATTTGGTAATATAGGTCATGTTCCAGAATCCTGGAAATAGGCCACCCTATGCTGTGATGACATTTTACCTGGGGGAAAAAAAAGGTGATTTGTACAATGTTTTCCAGAAGTAATACGCAAAATAACAACCATGCATGTGTTGGTTTGTAGTCCTTGATGAGTCCGTAGCCTGAAGAGTTCTCTTGCATGGCCATGAGCTCATTTAAGTTGCACTAAAGAGTTCCTATAGGGAAAGTATTATGAGACCAAAGCTAAGACTCGAAATAAGCCTTTGTTATTTCCGAATTGGTATATTAAAAAAATTAAAGTGATTTTAATTCTTGTGCACATAAATGTCCAACAGTCAAACAGCTACTTCTGAGTTAAGAACTGGATCAAATCTTATGTTCAATTTAAATCCAGTTATCAGGTCTAGGATTCATTCATACTCTGGATAATATTTTGTGGTGCTAACAGGGCCCCAGACCATTCCTTTCTCATTTTATTTCAATTTTGACATCCATTTGTTGGTTACCTTTTGTATTGCATAGCCTCAGTGCAGAAACTGAAGAAACTGCAGCCACAGCATCCCACCAGAACACAAGTAGTCCTTGTGCAGAACCTGTCTGCAGCCCATGAAGAGGAAGATGAAGTCAGCGGCAACCTGGATATAAGTCAAGCACAGGGCAGGCATGCCAAACAGAGTGGAAATAAATCATGTTAATGGAGCCTGCACTGGCATTCCTGTTTGGTGAGTTTGACACTGCAGTTTACAAGGGCATGTCTTCGGGTTACTTTCCCAATCTTGTGGAAAGTGAACCTGTTGATATATCTCTGCCTCATGCATGTTTGTCTAAATGTGATTTTATAAATCTGCAAAATGTTCAGACTTGACTGATAAGGTTTCACACTGGCACAACTCCGCTAGATGAGTGGTTATCTGCCCTGCTATGACTGGGCTACTGTGTGTTTGGGCGTCACCTGACAGTTATGAAAAGTGAAAAGAGTCAAGGTAAGAAAGCTAAAATTGGGGAGCAAATTTTCTTGGGAAGACAACATCCAAAGGTGCCTCTGATTTCATAGGCAGACCATGATCATACATTGGCAGAGCATGATCAGGTATCTTGTTAAAAGATTTCCAGACTCTTTCAAGATTGTACTAAGCACAGCCTAGTGCAAGAACTATTTGACCCCCACAGAGGAGCACTGTATCAAGGACAAGGAATCCTACAGAATGAAGCAGAGAGATATTCAAGAGTCAAAGAACAAGTAGTGAATCAATTAGAGCCTGAGGGGAATTTAAACAGTACTTAAAGCTTTCTGAGGCCTTAGGGAGTTTTCAGACTATCTGTATGAAATGATGTTCCTCATTCTTAAACAGCAGTCTTTTTGGCTTTTTCCCTTTTTGGCTTTTTTTCCATACTTTGGGAGGAAGTGGGGGGAAAAAAGACTTGAGGTTCTGTATAAAAGACTCGAGGTGCACAAAGTGCAATCTCCTGTTACGGCAAAAAGTTATTTAATAAAAATCTACTCACAAAACTTTTAAAATATAATTGGTCTTCTTGCACCTAGTATGTCAGAAGGCTGGTTTAGTAACTCCCTACTCTGCTCTTTGGAAACCTTCTTTTAGCTGTAATTTTGCCAGTATCATCTTTTGTAATGAAGAAAAAATTCCTCTTATCTATGAACTTATATAATTACTCATTTGAACAATATATACTCTTTTAGGCACCTTAGCATGATAGGCTGTTTGTGAATGTAGTTAGTATCCAGTCTCCTGATAACCCAAGTGTCCAGTGTATGAATGTGCTCTGTGCACTCAATCCAGATCAGATTAACTTTTTTTTTAGTGGTAAATAGAACATGACATTTTAGGGGATGTTTTATCACTTCACATGAAATGAACTTATCTCTTTTGAAATATCTTGATTCTCAGTTGAAGATCACATTTGTCTTTTTCATGTCCTCATGTCAGTCATACCTCAAAGTTGGGCTATCAACCTAACATACAGGTCATTGCCCCTGGATACCTCTAGTCGATCAACTGCCAACTTTAATGAGAAATTCTGATTAGTCTTTACGTTTTATTCTTATTGCTGTTCATCACATTTCCATTACTCCTGACTTGTTTCAGTCTTTCTTGCATGATAATCTGTTCTCTCTCCTTCCACAATAAGTATATTTGCTACTGTACTGAAAATGCCTCCAACTGTGTCATCAGCAGATTTCATTAATATGTTCCTGATCTTTATGCCAGTGCCATTCATGAGAATATCTTGTATACTGAGTTCAATAAGCAGTCCTGGAGGTTTGTTTCTTAATCTTCCTTGAAAACTCAGTGATAAACCCTTGTTCTACCTCTCCCTTACTCTCCTTGCCAAACCCTCTTATTATTATCATATTAATTTGTATTAATCCAGTTACAGTCAAATCACTCCCTTTTCTTGGGTTCAAGTTACAGGGGGTTTTTGTATCTCTCACTTACAAATTATCCCAATTATCTCAACATTCTGGAGTTTGACCTCTTCAGTACAGCCTACTTCACAAAACAGTTCTCTTTGTTTTAATAATTTTCTGCTTTTTGTTTATTTAAAATAATTTCAATTTTATTGATCTGATCTAACTCATGTTCATTAGACCCAAAATTATTTTATGCTACTGTTGCTCTTCAGCCCATTGGAGCAAAGACCTCAGTCTTTCCTCAATAGCACTTTCCAGTATATTCTCAAGCTTTTTCCTTCCCCGAGGTAAAGGAAGAACATTACAACAGAAAAATAGTGTATTTCTTCTATTAGAACATCACAGCCTTCAGTTCATGTGATGGCAACTCTTTTTACCAAGTCCCTGATTTATAGCGTTGAAGAGGCTGATTCATTCAATACATAGTCTTGTGTTCCCAATGAAAAAAACCTTAGTCTCTGTACCTATTTCAATGATTCCCACTTTATTCTCTAAGGCTAGAGCCCTTGAATACTCCTGATAATTTCCAGTGGGGCAATTCAGGGCACAGTTCTGAGAAGATATAACAGAATCTCACCCAAAAAGAAAGGCAGTGAAGGTTACTGAGGGAGGTGAATTTTTATGTTATGAAGGGGTGCGCTAGTAATTGTGGGAAGAAATTCAAATAAAAAACAATACCAGGAAAAAGTATGCGGAGACCAAAATGCACTACAGTTCAGAGACATCTTCCAAAGGGAATCTTGGAAGCAGAAAGTCCTTGTAGTTTTAAAAGATTTGACAAAACAATAGAATAGGACCTGTATTTTTAAACTGGCCAGCAGAGATTCTTTCCAGGTGTTTGTGTTCCCTACCCCTCCTCTTTCCCTGACAGATGTTCTACTCATTAAATAAGGAAGTAACAGCACCCTTTACTGTTCCTAAGTTTTCACCCATAGTTTAACCCCGGATTTCAAGTACTGATGCACTTCTTTGCACCTATTCCACTGAAAGTAATTCCAGTTAATTTCTGTCTTTTAGGTGCTTTTCCTGTCTGTGGCTCAGGAAAGGAGGGAAAGGAAGAAGAAATGTTACCTGCCGGTTAGCAGTTCTACAAATGAAAAACTTACTTAATAAAGCACAGCTTGCAACCTGTGGGCAAAACTCAAAAAAAAAACACCAAAAAACTTTTATTCATTCTGTTTAATATCATACACTGAAGTTTGAGGCACCAATGGTAGGTGATTGATTTTTGTAGAAATAGTTCCCATATCTCTAATTTCTTTACAATTTTTCTGTGTGCATTGTTAGATTTACATGCGCTCCCCCTTCAAACATTAGGCTGGAGTCATTCTTCATCTCCCAGCGGTAACTAATCCATCATTAGATGGACCCATGCAGATCCATATGAGGTGTTTGCTTTTAAAGCCAAGCTTTCTTCCATCAGCTTGTGACATTTTATTCACTCAGACAAGCTGATTAATGGTGTCAGCACTGTACATTTGCTTTGCAATAAATACCAAGCAGATGTTATACTGGCCTATTGCCCCACGCTGAGCATGAATCCTGTGAGACCTTGATTTTGATAGCAGCTCAGTTACCAAAAGGTCAAATAGTGTCCCCTAGCCTGTTTTATGCATGAATATGATATTGACTATATTTTGATTCAGGTGTTCTGGGAGGGGCTTTATATTAGAAGCACAGGGTCAAAACCTGGCATGTCAGACTAGGCAAAACATCTGCTGACTGAAAGAGCAATTTTTTCTGTGAAGGTTTCCAGGTTGAGCCAATTGTCAGTTGCTGTCATTATACCTTGTATTTTCTCTCTCAGCAGGTATGCAAGCGAGGTCTTGTAGGGAGAAGTGACGTCTTCTCATTGAGACAATGGGATCTAACAAAAGAATGTCTAAGATACCAGGTCTCTTTAGGTCTGAAATGGAAACCACAAACTCCAAGCTCAATACAGACTGAAAAGGGAACAGTTCTTCCAAAAAATCTGGGTAGAGTTCTCCTCAGGTAACAGGAAATATTAGCAAGAGACAATAAGCCATATATAAGCATTTCATTCAACATGGGCTAAACTTCAGAAATTAACCTACTGAAGTAGAACTGCATTTATTTGACACTGCCATAAGAGAATCAAGTTATGATGCAGATTTCAGAAATGGGCCTGTGACACAAAGTTTGAGTCAGTTCTGAAGTATTCCAAGGTTCAGGAAGTCTTCAGATCCAGGGCTCTTGGGCCTTTCTCACATAATTTACAAAATGGAGACTGTAAACCCACATTATCTGTTGTCTTGGGGCAAAGATTTTGAATATAACATTTTTTCAGATAAAATCAGAATTATTGTTCCCTACCTTCTTGAAATCCAATAGAATTATTGCTATTATTTAATTTACTAGTGTATTATTTTAATATGTATATGTGAAATGATTAATATATTAATTTTATATTCCCATGTGGTTTGGGTTGGTTTTTCTCCCAAAATTCTTTATTCATTCTAGGCAAAAAGAAGAAAGAAAATAGAAAAACTACACATTAATCCCATACAGCTAAAACTTAACCTGTCTCAGGGGATGCAAGATATGAATATTCACAGTGCTCTCAGGTATTATAGCCATCTCTAAGGCTCATGGGCTAGCACCCAACTGAATCCCTATTAATACTAAGTATTTATGATATTTAAATACCAGAAGTGTGATAGTATTGTTTTTATGGCATTAAATGTTTGAATGTAAGCTACTTTGGCTAGAATGGCACAATTATATTGACACAATTACACTGTTCAAAAGTACATCTTCCTTTATGACTGTTCTTGTTCCACATATTCCCGGGACCTTCATTATTTAGCTTAAGTTGAAGAGAACGGATTCAGCTCTGGAGTTCATGATTCACTCTGGTTTTGAAGGGTATGAGTAATATTAAATTCAATATTTCATTCAACTCTAAAAAGACAAACATAAAATGACAAAGAAATATAGATATAACTAGACCATCTTCTCTACTAAGTATACTTTCCTGATAAGTAGACATAGGCTGTTTATATTTCTTCCCCTAATAACAGATGCTCTAGTAACTTGCATTTAATTAAAATAAGTCCTTCTCTGGCTTAGCAACCAACACATTTTAAGCATGTTCATTTAAATTATTGAGAGTTTATATGCACAAAACCCCTAAATGTAATGAGGCTTTTACTTATTGAACACCTTTTATATCCCCAGTGTGTCTTTCCCTGTGTAAGCTGAGTCTTACTTGTGACTTAAAGTGGTTTCTAACCGAATTCATCGCCTCCCTTTTCCTTGAATAAGAATTTGCAAGCAAGAAAGCTATTGAAAAGTCAAGGAATAAAGAGAAGGATCACCCTGAACAGAATGGCACTTGTTCCTTCTGCCACTTCAAGTTACTGACTTCCTTGCAGTCTCCATGCATTCATTTGCATAACAGAGGTGATCATCTGGCCTTTACTACAGCAAATTGAATATAAACCAGTTACTGAAATATAAAACACATCCTAGGGAATTCTCTGAACACTGGCATACAAATGAAGACCTTAGTGCTGCCTAGGAATAATGGAGGTGACAGAAGAGAAATATTGGTGTTGCTGATTGACTCTTATTGTTACAAGATGTATGAGAGGCTACAGCAGCATTTCACAGTCTTGGTGAAAGAAATGCTTGTTTTAGTTTATCTCCCTTCTCCCATTGCTGTAAAGTTGTTTAAGAGACTGGGCTTCATATTTCAGTATATAACTTGCCACCAAATCCAGCCACATTTTTGACACTGTTTTGGACTGAATTGGAGACAAGCTGGGAGATTTCTGCTTACACTGAGATATAATCATGTACTTAATGGCCTTATTTTTAAGCACCAAACCTCATGAAAAGGACCTCCTGATCTGCAACATTTTACTGGGCCATTCTGTTTAGAATACATTTCCAGTTTCCCTGGTAAGACACTATTTTCCTTCTTAACATAAAACCAGCTTCAGTCTTTTATTCCTAAAATTTAGAAATGAACAGAGAAGTATCGACCACACTCCTACTCAATCTTTTTGACCAGGATTCCCCATCTTTCATTTCTGCTAGAGCAGGCTAGGATGCCATGCCTCCTCTGTCACTTAACAGAACTACTACACATACACACTAAGTCCAGGACTTCCTAGGGAAAAGGCACAAGTGTTGCTGTGCTTTCTTTCAGAAAGCCTGTCAGTTACTGCTCTAAGTTCTCTAACCTTCTATTGTATGTTCAATACAGTAATCTCTTCCCCTTTAAGTTTGCCCATAAGATACAATTTAGTGAATCTGTTTCTTCCCATCTGCTGCAACTGGCTGTCCAAGCTCTCCATTACTCTCTTCAAATCAGTTTTCTCTAACATTTGTGTAAGTCGAATCTCATTCACTCAAGGAGAGATTGACGCTACTAGGTTGCAATCTCATCCAGAACCTAACATTTCTCTCATGAAGATGGCCTTAATGCCATCATTTTAAGGACTAAACCTAACCTCCTGGTATGCAACATTTTGAGCCATTCTGTTTAGAATATATTTCTGTTTAGAATATATTTATGTTTAGAATATATGAAGCACACTGGGGCATGAGTCGGCAGAGAAGCTGCGGTATTGCATTCCAAGAGGAGTGTGTGTCATATTTGCCTCATATATCTGAAAATGGAAAGGGGCTAGGGAACTATTTCCACTCATAAATTTAAAAAAACACTAGAGCTGAAAACACAATGCTATTTTAAGAACATGTGAGGCCAGGGAGTGCAAGTCTATCTTTGGGGTTTATCAAGTTTTCTGGTTGATTTGGGCCATATTTTAAAATTCATAATGGCCATATGCTTACTCTTTCGTAGCATCTTTTATCTCTCTTTTTTTTTTTTTTAATTTAAAATTTTGATTCTTGTAAACTCTCTCACAGTCATTGCTTGCCCGCATCCAAGTGCTGGCAACAACACAACACAAATTTCATGGGTTTTATAGTAACTGGCAATGCTGTTCTCCAGGGAGAAGTATTAGCCCTGCGCATAAAGCTTGGCTTTCATATAAAACAGCCCTATTTCTGCTTTAAATTTGATCATGATGCTCTTATTTTCATGTCTGTCTTTATTAGTATAGTACAATATTTCTTTTAATGCTTTTAAGATTTTCAGGCTTCCTCCCATTTAAAGTTATAATTCTCTGCTATTTCAATTAAACTCTACACCAATTTTCTTGAAGTCATTTTTGCCTGCAGTTCTACCTCTTCATTTCATCAGCATCAGTTAAGGGCTGTCCATCAGCAGCACATTACTTAAAGCATATAAAAGATATAATTGACTTTTTATCCTTGATCTGATGTTTCTAGAATATATTTTCACATTTTGAGTCTCCTCTTTTCACTACAAATCAATTTACTCATCACAGTACTATGTGATGAGTAGATATGGTTGATATGGTTGCAGCTCAGCTCAGCTCAGTTTGCTTTGGTGGGACTACAACCAATCACACACAAAAAAAATTAGGCTGCTCTCCAAATTCTTTATCTGGAAGAAACAGAGCTGATACCAATATGTTCATGCTCTGATTCACAACTTTAAGAGCAGGCAAAGTATAAACTCTTGAAAAAAATCAATTTATTTGCTATGGGGATTACTAATCTCATCTGCAAACACAGAAGAATGCCTCTGTTTCTCATACAGAAAATTTTGCTTGAAGTTTTTCCTTTTGAATCTTAGCTTCTAGACATTGTCTTCACAGGTCCCAAATTGTAGTGTCATAGTCTCACATCAAGTTTCTGTTTAAATCTGAAGCTGCCCTGTAGACAGCATTAGACACAAATATATTACAACTAAACATTATGCTGTTCCCTGATATTGATGTATAGACACAGTTTTTTCTTTAGGTTGGAAATAAAGACCTGGAACATGTGACACTGAACTCCTCTCTTTCATCTTCATAAGGGTGAAAGAACAGGTCCTCTTAATTATTTTCCTAATTTCATAAATGGTATCTCTTCTCCTCAAGCGTGTAAATATATCAGTAAAGAGCTGAATTAATCCTATAGTAATCATAATATCCTCCTTCAGCTTTCACTAAGACATAGGATTCACTGCATCTAAAGTATTTAGACTGCTCAGTACTTCAAAATACTGCTTTTATATAAGAGTACCAAACAAGACGCAATTCATCTTTAATATTTTTCTGTTTTCATTTGAAGGATCTTAGTAGTACTGGGCATAGATCCAATAAACATGAACTCGTTCAAGGGTAGAAGATGGTATAAGATCTACCCTCTTATTTTCCTTCTCTATGTTACCATGTTTAAATAAGAAGAAAATAACTTATTTTTCCCCCAGTATCCCTGAATTGTTTCACATATATAATGGAATAAAATGTAAAAGAAAATTGTTCTTGGAATTTATGCCACCATTTTTTTCCTGATAATAACTTTACGCACAATAAAATTAACAGATGCTGCTTACCAAAGTAACCCTGAACTAAATGTTAAGTGTTTATTCTCTTCTAAAAACATAAACCAATCAGCAACCAAATAACTCTACAGTGTCAAATAAATGTGCTTTATGTATAATCATGAGGTTCCTATCTGAAGTGAATTAAATAATAATCTTACATAAATATATCATAGTGGTTTTGTAAATGTGTTTCTGAGGATGAAATTAATTACATACATTGATGCAAATTATATACAATCAATACCCATTCTGTAACTGGGACTTTGTTGTTATTCTTAAAAAATAAATAAATAAAATGGGAACAAAGAAAAAAAATGAAAACAGAGAGGGAAGTAGAAGGATTTTTAGGGAAAGCTGTAACAAAACCTAGAAATCCCAAATGGGAAGAAACTGAGTAGCCAAGAGCAATAAAAGCTAGATCCCAAGGCCTAGATCCAACAGTTTTTTAGTACCACACATTTATCTAGTGCCATAAAGCATACTGCAGGATTCTGGAAGTGTCTGCAAGATCAAGCACCAACCATTCAGACTGGGTGTAGGTTAGTAGTAACAACAGTTAATAAAATAATGTTTAAATATCATGTAAACCACTGAAGCTCCAGAGATGTTTTCATTCTGTAGAAATCATGGTAACTTAAATTACTCACAATTTGTCATGGGTTTTCTTTGGCTATTTAATTTAAAATACTATGGAGCTATTTACTAAACTGAGTTTTCCAAAAAAGCAGAATTGTGGCAAAGGAGAGCAGTAACTTTTTCAATGACAGTTTCTGGTTTAAGTCAAACACTTTAACAATTAAAAATAATAAGAAAAAGGTGGGGGTTTGTTCCAGTGTTGTTGTAGCTATTAAATTATAAAGCTGTATTTTCAATGAATAATATACTTTGAAGCCTGGACAGCTTAGAGATGGCATGTTTTTTTCCATGGCATATGTCAACCTTGCTTGCTGAGCTGGACCCAGGACCATGGGCAGGACACTGGAGCTATCCGTTCTGAGGTAAAAGGGCTACTTACGTAATGAACATTAAATGATCTTTCAGAGTGGCACCCTCTGTAAAGAAGTTTGCATTTTCAGTGTTATCTGCTGGATGGTTCACCGTGTCCAGAAGAGTTAAATTAAACACAGCTTCACAGGAATACTAGTAGGAACTAAAACAAAGCAGAAGAACATATTCACTCCCTCACTCTGAGTGGACTTCACTCATGTTAAACTCTTGGAAATGCCAGAAAACATTTTGGCTGAAGAGTATTCTGTAATTTAGTTTAGCTTTGAGTATTATATACTTCAGATTGTTTGCATACTTGAGGATGAATATCTCAGCAGATTGCAAGATCTAACCTACAAACTAGATTTTTTAGAAAGCCCTTCCACAAAATCATTGTGCAAGTGAGGCATTTGTCTCTTGTTTTTCTGGTGTTAAGACCTCTACATTTATCAACCAAATTTGACTATTACTGCCACTGTAGCTGTAATCTAAACAACTCTAAGAATATGTTCATTAAGCATATAGCATAATTCTTTTGTCTGGAATTCCACCATAAACAGTGGAATTTGTTTTCTAGAAAAAGAGATAAAGTGATTTAATAATTCACTAGATAGCAGAGAGAAATTGTGAACCTGAGTACAGATCTGGACTTGCTCACAAGTAATTATCTGGGAAAAGTGCTAGCAATAACCTTCAGGTGTCTGCTGACATCTGAAAGGAGACATATGGCCTTGAGATGCACATACAGCCTTTGCTTTAGCTGGGGGGGGACACCTTTGTATTTACTGTCACAGAAAAAAACTAGAGCATCTGTGACATTTAAAGATTTCAAGGATAAGGAGATGGAGGTGCTAGCAAAGTCCTAATGTGTTAATATCATGAAGTCCAGAATTTGTCCGGTTTAAATGCATTATTTCTTTTCTTTACATTCAGAAGCATCAAACCTTTTCAGAATAAATTTTTATTTCAGTTAGAGAACATGGGTAAGTAACTACAGAAAATGGAAAGTTGAAAATCTCTTTTGCTCATTTACAACATCCCCTGTCAACAAAGTCTCCCCTTAGCATTCTCTTCTTCAAACTGAAGATGTCCAGCTCTCTCAGCCTCTTCATATGCATTATATTCTCCACCCCTAACCATTTTGGAGGCCTTCTGACTGATTCTCTCCCATATGTCAATATTGTTCTTGTACAGGAGGAAACCAAAACTGGACACAGTGCTCAGAAGTCTTATGAAAGATTACACTGCAGTTGTTTCCAAATGACCCCCATCCTGTACTGTTGCATGGGGCTATTCTTTCCCAGATGCAAGACCTTGCAATTGCTCTTGTTGGACTCCAGGAAGTTCACATCAGCCTGTGCCTCCAGACTGTGAAGCTCCCTCTGAATAGCAGCCCTGCCCTCCAGCTGAGTTCAGCTTTCAAAATACAACAAAAGAATGTAAAAGCTAGAGAGCCATGGTGGAAAAGAAGCCCTATGCATCAGAAGTCTCTCAAGGGAAATGAGAGAACCAGATGGAGATCATAGTTTCATTTACCTCTAGAAGTTACTCACAATGGGAAGGAGACATTGCAGAGATGTTTAATTGGCTAGGCATTCTTCTATCAAGCAGCAAGAAGTTGGTTTGATCTTCTATCTTACCATCTTGAACAAAAATATTTGTGCTGATTTCTTAAGATGTGTTGGCAACTTGCCTTATGATATTGGCATCATAGGATGCTATATTTGCATTTGCTTTGCACAACACTTAATTCTGAATGTCTTTTGATTTGATGACAGGGACAGTTCTAAATCACATACTAAAAGGGATTCTTTATTACACAGTTGTGTTTCCCCCAGAGGAGATGCCTGGGGCCTCTCACAGTTGAAAATGTGTAGTACTCTGCAGGTGGTCTATTTAAATTCATTTTGTGCTGAAATCTTCTGAGAAGAAGGAAGGTTCTGAAAGCCAAGAAGACCATCTGGATTTATCTAATTCTTCAGATTGTTTTTGTTGCATAAATAGCATGTAGTAAGACAAGCCATCCAAACAGAATTGCTAGTGGAACCATATTCCTAATTCTTTGGCTTCAGAGAGTCCATAAATCTTTAAGGCTTTTAGGGTGTATAAATGTCATAGTTTGTACCATTTCTGTCAGGATGGTGTTCCCTTTGCAAAATATGTGACCTAGGGCTCCACATAAACCATTTATGGTCAGCAAATATGGCTTTGGGACAAATTTCCAAGATAGATTAAGCAAATTTGGCTTTTAGGAATTCTGCAAGTTTTCACACCCCTCTTGGAAATCAATCCTCTCACAGATGCAGATATCCTTTCTAATGGACAAATAAAAGCCTTTAGAACAGTCAAATCAAGGTAATGAAACACCCCACACAGCCTTCACAACAGAAAATAATGCAGGAGGAAACCTCTCTCAGGTCCACCAGAGACCGATATTGACTAATGTGCCCAGATGCTCCTGTTAATGCACCAAACTACTAAGCCACAAATTATTCAAGGAGTGATTTTTCCAGTACACAACAAATGCCACTAATGATTAGTGATCTTAGGAATGTGCTCTCTCAAAAAGGATGTTATTGTAGTGATATAACTGCTTCATGTGACCTGTGGCAAGAACGTCTGTGTCTGGTGAATGGAAAACAAATGCATATAAATTACTGTCGATTCATCTTCCATTATGCATTGCAGGGTGTCTTGGTGACCATTACATCTTACAAGTGGACTTAAACCATCCTCAACTGAGATATCCTTCCATTATCTCTGCCTTCATTGGGGTCTCTTCGTCTGTTGCTAAAAAGATTTCAAAAGGGGCAAAAATAGGAAATGTACTAAAATCCTCATGTTTAACATTGCCTAAATATGTAAGAAACCACTCCCTGGCAGCTGTGGCACAATTGTCGGCCAAATGAGTAAAAAATGTGCATCACAATTTTTCTCTCTTTAGTCTGAGCAACCAAATCTATTCTGGATTCTTCCATGATTTGTCACAAATGGTATGGCTGGCATGCTCTGCAGTGATATGGTTGGTATGGAAGGAAAGAGAATGCTGTGCCTGTTTCTTGGTGGGAAAAAAAAAAAAAAAAGCCTTAAAAAAGCTCTGAGCACAGACTTGGACATAGTTCAGTTTTCATCATGTTAACGAGGAACAGTAATGTTAAAAACAACTGCCCCAGGGAGCGCGAGTGACCAGGAGAGCAGCGAACAGAGCGGACAGAGTGGGCAAACAGAGCGGGTCGAGGCAGTTTGTGCGGCAGTTCGCGCCGGCAGGCAAACGGGATGGTGAGCACCCGCCATATGACCAGGGCTTGGTCCGGGAGCTCTGCTCTGGCTGCCCCGGCGGTGGCCAGCGTAGGCGCCCAGACAGAGCCGATGAGAGGGGAGGCTGCAGTGCAGAGCTCGGGGTGTAGAGAGTGCCTGCACTGGTCTGGTGAGGGGAGGGTGCACAATGGGCAGGGCTGCACTCGGTGCTCCCTGGTGGAGGACCTCCTGCAGCAGGGGCTGAGCTGCGGGATGCTGTTAATAGACTGCAAGATGTCAGGGAAGCTGAGAGGAAGCAGGAATGGTTGCTGCCGGCCCAAACTGTGCAGGGGCCTCGAGCTTCACCTCTAGCTCATGAAGGAAAGAAGGAGGCCGTTAACCCGAGAAGCTGGGAATTAGTAATAAAAAAGAAAACAAACAACAAAAAAAAGGAGGAAAAGGACAATCAAAAGCGGGGGGCTTCCTCCTAAATCTGATGTCCCCACCCAGAACCGCTTTGCTGTCCTGCAGGGGGCTAGTGAGGAAACGCGCTCGAGCCAGAAACAGCCGGCTGATGCACTGCTAAAGAAGATCTCTACTGGTGCCGCCAGGAAAAAGCGGCGGGCCGTAGTAGTAGGGGACTCGACACTGAAAGGGACAGAAGCACTTGTCTGCCGGCCAGACCCTGTCTCAAGGGGCGTGTGTTGCCTACCGGGGGCACGGATCAGGGATGTGGCAGAGAGGCTGCCTGCTCTAGTAAATCCCACGGACTATTACCCACTCCTGGTGATACATGTGGGTGCTAGGGATATAGATAGTAGTAATCTGGGGAACATAAAGAAGGACTACAGAGCCCTGGGGGAGGTGGTTAGGGGCTCTGGAGCTCAGATAGTCTTTTTGTCAATTCTCCAGGATACAGGGGAGGACCTAAAAAAAGCTAGGAGGATTAGCCAGGTTAATAACTGGTTAAAAGGGTGGTGTCATAGTCAGGGGTTTGGGTGTCTTGAACACGGGACCCAAGCTTGTAGGCCAGGTCTAGTGGGGGCTGGTGGAGCTGCTCTGATAAAGAAGGGGAAGAGCAGTTTTGGTAGGAGGCTTGCCAGACTGGTCAAGGAGGCTTTAAACTAGATGTGTTGGGGGAGGGGGGCATCATTCCATCCCAACACACCCAGTCAGTTGCCAGCACCTATAATAAATGCTCGGAGCAATGTAGAGATATCCCAGCTGCTCCAGCCAATGAGCCAGCTTCATTTGTAGCTCAGCTCAGATGCCTCTATACAAATGCCCGTAGCATGGGGAACAAACAAGAGGAATTAGAGATGTGGGCACGTCTACAGGGGTATGATATAATAGGCATCACAGAAACATGGTGGGATGGCTCCTATGACTGGAGTGTTGGAATGGAAGGTTACAGGCTCTTTAGAAAAGACAGGCCTGGCAGGCGGGGAAGGGGAGTTGCCCTTTATGTTAGGGATAGGCTGGAGAGTATGGAACTCTGTCTGGGGACAGGCGCGCAGTCCACAGAGAGTTTGTGGGTCAGGGTTAAAGGGAATATAGCTATGGGAGACATTACTGTGGGGATCTGTTACAGACCGCCTGATCATGGACAGCCTGTGGATGAAGCACTCTATAGACAGATAAGAAAAGCCTCACGCTCACAGGCCCTTGTTCTCATGGGTGACTTCAACCACCCTGACATCTGTTGGAAGGACGGTATGGCCCGGCACAAGCAATCCAGGAGGTTCCTCGATTGTGTGGAAGACAACTTCCTTCTGCAAGTAATAGAGGAGCCAATAAGGAGAGGTGCCGTGCTTGACCTCATGCTCACCAACAGGGAAGGGCTCATTGGAAATGTGACACTCCAGGGCAACCTTGGACACAGCGATCACGAGATGGTCGAATTTGAGATCCTCAGGACAGTGAGAAGAGTGTGCAGCAAGCTCACTGCCCTGGACTTCAAGAGAACAGACTTTGGCCTCTTCAGGAACCTGCTTAGTAAGGTTCCATGGGATACAGCCCTAGAGGGCAGGGGGGCCCAAGACTCTTGGTTGATATTCAAGGATCACCTGCTACAAGCTCAGGAGTGCTGCATCCCAACTAGAAGGAAGTGCAGCAGGAAGGCCAGGAGACCTCCTTGGATGGATAAGGAGCTGCTGAGGAAAATTGAAATGAAAAAAGAGGCTTATAAAAAGTGGAAGCAAGGACAGGAGGCCTGGGAAGAGTACAGGGATGCTGTCCGCGAAGCCAGGGACCAGGTTAGGAAAGCTAAGGCCCAGTTAGAATTAAACTTGGCTAGGGATATTAAGGATAACAGGAAGGGATTCTACAGGTACATAGCAAATATAAAACAGACTAGGGACAACGTAGCCCCCTCAGGAAGCTCTCAGGAGAGCTAGCTACAGAGGATTTGGAGAAGGCTGAGGTTCTGAATGACTTCCTTGCCTCGGTCTTCACTGTCAAAGGCTCTGACCACACCACCCAAGTCTTGGAAGGCAGATGCAGGGACTGTGAGAATGAAGACCTTGCGCCCACTGTAGGAGACCATCTTAAAAATCTGAACGTGTACAAGTCCATGGGTCCTGATGAAATCCATCCGCGGGTCCTGAAGAAGCTGGAGAATGAAGTTGCTAAGCCGCTGGCCATCATATTTGAGAAATCATGGCAGTCAGGTGAAGTTCCCAATGACTGGAAAAAGGGAAATATAACCCCCATTTTCAAGAAGGGAAAAATGGATGATCCAGGGAATTACAGACCAGTCAGTCTCACCTCTGTGCCTGGCAAAATCTTGGAGCAGATTCTCCTGGAAGTCATGCTAAGGTACATGAAAATCAACGAGGTGCTTGGTGACAGCCAGCATGGCTTCACGAAGGGGAAATCCTGCCTGACCAATTCGGTGGCCTTCTATGATGGGGCTACAGAACTGATGGACAGGGGTAGAGCAGATGATGTCATCTACCTGGACTTGTGCAAAGCGTTCGACACTGTCCCACATGACATCCTTGTCTCTAGATTGGAGAGACATCAATTTGATGGCTGGACCACTCTGTGGATAAAGAACTGGCTGGATGGCCGCACACAAAGAGTTGTGGTCAATGGCTCAATGTCCAGCTGGAGACCAGTAATGAGTGGTGTCCCTCAGGAATTTGTTGTTGGGACTGGTCTTGCTTAACGTCTTCATCACTGACATGGACAGTGGGATTGAGTGCACCCTCAGCAAGTTGGCCAATGACACCAAGCTGTGTGGTTCGGTTGATATGCTGGAGGGAAGGAATGCCATCCAGAGGGACCTTGACACGCTTGTGAGGTGGGCTGATGCCAACCTTATGAAGTTTAACCATGACAAGTGCAAGGTCCTACACCTTGGTCGGAGCAATCCCAGGCACAGCTACAGGTTGGGCAGAGAAGAAATTCAGAGCAGCCCTGCGGAGAAGGACTTGGGGGTGTTGGTTGATGAGAAAATGAGCATGAGGCGGCAGTGTGCGCTTGCAGCCCAGAAAGCCAACCATGTCCTAGGCTGTATCAAAAGGAGCGTGACCAGCAGGTCAAAGGAGGTGATCCTGCCCCTCTACTCTGCTCTTGTGAGACCTCACCTGGAGTATTGTGTGCAGTTCTGGTGTCCTCAACATAAAAAGGACGTGGAACTGTTGGAACAAGTCCAGAGAAGGGCCACGAGGATGATCAGGGGACTGGAGCACCTCCCGTATGAAGACAGGCTGAGGAAGTTGTGTCTGTTCAGCCTGGAGAAGAGAAGGCTGCGTGGAGACCTCATAGCAGCCTTCCAGTATCTGAAGGGGGCCTATAGGGATGCTGGGGAGGGACTCTTCATTAGGAACTGTAGTGATAGGACAAGGGGTAACAAGTTAAAACTTAAACAGGGGAAATTTAGATTGGATATAAAGAGGAAATTCTTTCCTGTAAGGGTGGTGAGGCACTGAAATAGGTTGCCCAGGGAGGCTGTGAATGCTCCATCTGTGGCAGTGTTCAAGGCCAGGTTGGACGAGGCCTTGCGTGGCATGGTTTAGTGGGAGGTGTCCCTGCCCATGGCAAGGGGGTTGGAACTAGATGATCTTAAGGTCCTTTCCAACCCCAACTATTCTATGATTCTATGAGTCTGTGATCTTGATAGAGTAATTTACAAAGAGCTGGTGATGGTGGATGTTATTGAAAGGATGTTATTTCAAAAACAGATAACTAATTAAACTTCTTGTACTACATACAGACAGACGCTCCTCCACATGTCCCATTCCACACTGTTCACCTCCACCTCACCTGTATTCCCATTAACACAAGCTTGAGGTCCTTTCCAACCCTAACTATTCTATGATTCTATGATTCTAACTAGTAAACCTCATCTACATAGTTCTTCAAGCAACTCTGTGGATTGGGAAAGACTGACTCCTGAGGTAGTTTTCCTGCCTTTTCAGTTGAGTCAGCACTGGACTTCACCACTGGCCAGGAAAGCAGTATCTGTTTCACAAAGCTGTTCAAGAGAGGAAGCAGAGAATGATTTCTTCCTTAAGACACTTTACACAGTGGAACCACTAGGGCTGGCCACCACCAGGACATGGGGTTGACTTGCAATGGCCCTTCCACAGCAGAAAAGATGAACCATGATGCCTGTACTGTCTGAGAGGCTGATCTTTGGAAGCTGTGGAGTCCCAAGTCCCTTTGCTTTGTGGTGAGAGTATGGGCAGTGGAAGGCTGAGGAGGTTTCAATTCTGAAGCTGACAGAAGTGTAAAATGATGTCTGTGTGGGTGCTGCTCTTGTTCCCTAGAAGGAAGCAAGGCCGGGACTGTAGGTGTGTATGCATGGACACAATGTTTCATCAGCATCTGAAAATTACATTTTTTTCATCTACCACGGAAAAACAGGTAACAAGGTGCTCCCTTCCGTGATGATGATGGTGTTACAAAGGTAATTCTTTGATCCTACCAGTGTTTAGGATGCTTTTCTCCCAAAACATGCTTTGTTGACAACCAGGGGGAACTGTTTCAGTATGGTAACAGCTACCACAAGTCTCTGCAAATGTGCTATTTTGCTTTTTGTTACGATTCCAAGACTTGAAAGTTTCTTATTTTAAGTATCTCTTCCCTATGGGTGAATTTATCCTCCTAAAGCAAGCCTCCCAGTGACACACTGTAAATGTTCAAAAGCTAGATAACAAGAACTAAAATTGCAGTGGCTTGGGTCTTATCTGCCGATCCCATGCTTTCTAGAGCTGAATTCTCATGTGTGTGTGATCTATGACACCAGTTTATCCTCTTCTGTTAACAACAGCAACAGCAGTGCTTCCAGAGAATTTTGTTTTTTTCCAGTCAATTTTGCCTCACTTAATCTCTACTTTGGGGGAAGAGGGAAGTTAAATACTTGTAGCCAACTCGTTAAGGAGGACGGAGATGGAATACAGAGAAGTAGGGGCTGATTTCCTAGGGACCCTGTTTCGGGGCCACTAATCCCGAGCTGGCCGCCCGCCTTCCTGCGCACCCCTGCAGCGCCCGGGGCGCGGATAGGGCCGGCAGCCGCCAGCGGGACGCCGGGGCCCGCGGCGGCACCTGGGGCGGCCTCTCGGCGGCGGGGCGGGGGAGCGGCAGGAAGCGGGGCAGGGCCGCGCACCCGGAAGCGGTTGGGCCGGCTGCAGGGGGCTGCTGGTGGCGCGAGCTCGGTAGCTGGCTCGCAGGCGCGTCCCGCTCGGCGGCTGCGGGGCACAGACGCGGCCGGGCTCGGCTGCCCTGCAGCCCGCGATGCCCTCGGGCTGCCGGGTACGCCGCGGGGCATGGTGAGCCCTGGGCGGCAGCTCCCTGCGGGGACTCGGCAGGCGGCCTCTCCGCTCCGCCTCAGCCTCCTGCTCCTGCTGCTGGTGCCGCGGGGCACCGGGGCGCAGAAAGGTGGGTGCGAGAGCGGTCGGGCAGGGCGGCAGCGGGCGAGGGAAGCCCACGCTCTGGAACATGGCTGCATGGCGAGGGGGGGAGCCCCCATCTCTGGTCTGCCCCTCAGCATGTGGCCCCACTCCCCGAGTCTGCCCACTCCCTGTCCAACAAAGGGCGAAAGAAGAGCCCCATTCTCGGCAACTCCCTTTTCGTCGTCCTCACTCCCACCCTGTGGGGCGGCCGCCCCGTCGGGGAGTGTGGGGCTCCCTCAGGTGGGGGGGTTGACCAGTTCCAGCCCCAGGGGGAGCCGGCGGCGGGAGGGCTTCACCCGGGCGGGGCGCGGCTGAAGTGGCGGGAGGCGCTGGGCTGTGGTGGTAGATCGGGGACACAAGGCCGGCCCGAAAGCGGAGGGCGCGCTGGCGTTTGCTGTCCTGAGCCACAGCCAGCTGCTGGGGGAGGCTGCCCACACAAGCTGTGTATGAAGAGGTGTGAGCCAGGAGGGGATAAAGGGGAGATTCTGCTTGCTCTGAAAATAAACTTACACATGCCCAAGAGCAGTAGAAGTGTACATGGGGTGAGCGTCTAGAATGTGTGATGGAAGGGGGTAGTTTTTTGGGGTTTTGGTGTTTTTTTTTTAAGAGAAATTGGTGAGATTTGTCCTCCTCGGGTGGAATTAGTTCATTAGGCTTTAGCACAATTTGGTCAATTCATAGCAGAAGATCAGAGGATGCCACAGTAACTGTCACTTTGATCATATGCTTGGGAGAAAGTGTTGGGAGTGAATGTTTTGACAGCATCTTGAAACTTTCACTTGTTGAATACAGGGGCTGAGAAGAGAAATTTTGTGGTTTTTGATTCCATTTGCTTCTTGCACCGGTCTTGCTTTGTTTTGGAAACTCACCTCTTGTTATCACATAACTTTGTCTACATCTCAAAGAGAGATGTAAATGTATTTGAATGTCCCAAACTCTGTATTAAAATGCACAAAGGGAATCAAAAAGTGTATGCGCTGTACTGTTAAACATATATTTCACGTTTTTTGAATGGAAAAGGTCAGAGATGCATCCACAGATCAACGTAGTCAAGTTGACTTACCTTTTGCCCTTATTTCCAGCTAACTGCATTTAGTTTTAAGTATGTTCCTGTACACAGAAGATATTGCTAGTATGCATTTGACATACCTGATTTTGTTTGTGTTTAATTTATGATGGAGGAGGAGAAGTTCCATTTGCTTTTGAGACGAAATTGGGCAATTTTAACATTTAGCCTTTTGAAGACTGTGGCTGGATGAGTCAGGTAGCAGCAAGGTGTTCAGGCTGTAGGAGCATCACACTCGAAGTACTAGTGCTGACCTGACACTTATCTGACCTTTTGGTGAGCAGACTGAGTTTGCTATTCTAGGAGAAAACTGAAATAACTGTGTGGGGTAGGGAAGAGTCATAATTTTCCTCCACATTACTGAGTCGGATTGGCGCAGTGAGTAATCAGAGGTGCGCTAAAGGGAGTGGGACCATGCAGCAAAAAGTGGGACCACATGGACAGCAGGCTTTTAAATATGCTGTTCACTTTACCTGTCTGTACTCTGAGAAATTGCTGAAGAGTTCCTACCCAGAATTTCAATGTAGCGTTCCTTCTTGTTTGCACAGAAATCTTCCTTTTGAGCAGGAAGGGAACCTCTTTATTGACAAGCTTCATTTTATTTGGTAACATAAAACAGAGCTTGTCTTAAGGTTAGGGTCTGTGGTGGTGTTAAATACAATGCTTTCCAGTATGAGAAATTGTTGGGAGCTTCTAAGAAAAGCTCTGCTTGCGAGGGACTGTTTCCTTGCCAATGTTTTTTTTTCATTTATCTTATTCCAGAGAAGGTTGAGGAGCAGATATCCTGTATTTTTAAATGCTGGCATAGTTCTAATTTCATACAGAAATGAAACTGTTGTCTTGCTCATGAAGGGTCTGTCCAAAGCAGTTACTAAATTAGTGTATTAAATGTATGCACAGGCTTCTAAAATAATATGTTGATTGCCAGTGGAAGTACCCAAGGCCTAAGAAATTCCACAGTTAAAGTTGGTTTTGAGCTCTTTTATAAAAATGCTGTGAGTGATACTATGTAGGAACCTAGACTCATTTGTGATGTTAGGGAGGCTGATCCTCTGTTAATAAGCAACTGTTCCTTTTCTTTTCCACTGTTGAGCACCTCTAAGCCTCACATACTGCATGGTATTTAAATCTTGTTATGAAGATAGAGCATTTTCATATCTCACATGCTTTTCTTTAGAGCACCTCCCTAATATGAACTAATTTAAAAATAACAATATGGTTTTGGTCAATGTGAAACTTGTTTTGAATATTGGGTCAAGTGGGCCTCCTCCCCTTCCAGACAGCTGCAAACTAAGGAACGAAAAAGTGCAAGTACTGCTGTGCTTTTCACTTGGTAGCCTACAGCGTTATCATGTAGGATTGGAGTGGGATTTTTTTTCAATCTATGATGTTGAAAATCACTCAGTATATGTAGTTCAGCATTCTTTGTTCAAGGTCTTGAACCTGAGCATCTAGCTGTCTTGGAAAATATGAGCATTTTGTATGCGATTAAACACCTTCAGAAGCACTGAAAAAGACTCAACAGCAAAGTAGCCTGTACTGGGTTTCATACAGGCTAATGCATCAGGCACTGTCCAGCCAATGGCTGTGCAAATCAGCTCTTGTGATTTTGATGCAATTGTATAGTGACTTTAGCTCCTGGTTGCAATGAAATTGATATTTCAAAAATACTTCAAGTGTTTTATTTGTTTTACGTGTAATTAAGCAAGCTGGCACCATGTAAGCTTCCCGATCTTTGTGGCTTGCATTTTGAGAAGCAGTGCTCATAACAGATGCTCAGCTATTGTCATAAATTTGGAATGGCCTTTTCGTTAGTTAAGTTGAACTTTTGGGGGATTTAGAAAAACACAGCTAAAAGAAATGGTTGCTTAGTAGAAGTTGAGTAATGTCTTAGTTATTCTGAAGGTATGAAGACTGTGGGGCAAAAACTTTGTCATCACACATGTAATTTGGTAGCTGTATGTTGGAATTCCTAATGGATACTGATTTGCATGTAGAACTGGAATAAAGCCTTAAGTTACAAATAAACTTTAGATTCTATAACTGATTCCCAAGTGATTCAAAGCAGATTTGTTTGCAATCTTTCCTTTAAAAAAAACCCTAACTACGGATGCTTGTTTTTGAATGTGATTCTCCTATTCCATTCTAAACAAATACCAACCCACGAAGATGTTATGTGCTCAAACCTCATTGAAGAAAGTACAAAAAAGTGATTTATCACTGTAGCTTAAAAATGTTTGCTTTAATGTAGCAAAGAATTTTTGAATGTGTGGTGCTGGGTTACCATGACCTAAAAAGCTGAGTGAAAGAACTGATGACTCTGTGTACGTTGAGCCTAATTAAATACTTTTCCATGGCCTTGTGTTTTGTGGTTGAACTGCAGTATTCCTGGATCTGTTGTGTGTTCCCTGCTCCTCTTCATTTCCCCTGTGTGCCCTCCCCTTCTCTCCACAGTGGTCCTGCTCTTACCGCTGCTTGTCCATTCGGCAGTGCAACAGGTTACGGTGGCTTTGGCTGTGGCTGGTCCAGAATCAGGCACGTGGTGATCCATCAGCCTAGCCTCTGCATTTCTGTAGAACCTGGAAAAGCTTGTGGTCATTCATGTGTTGGTGACTGAAACAAACAACTGTGGCAACTGTTGCAGCTTCCTGGCCGCTTGCTGTACAGGGCTGTCTTAGTGCCTTTGTCACTGAAGTATAGCATTTTGCTCCCACGATGCTGAGTTCAGATGTTCCAGGGACAGTTGAGAAGACTAGAGCTAGCTGTGTGATTTTGTGAACTTTGTTTCATCTTGCAAATAACTGTCTGTCCCTTTTGGTCACTAAGGTAGATTTAGAAGAGAGGTGGCTTGATTTGAGGACAAAGAGAAGGTGACTCTAACTATATATTCATGAGCTGGGCAAGAAGGAGGGAGAGAGGCTGTAGCTTCTCCCTTGATGTCCTGTAAGAGATTATTTCCTCCTGGAAGGGGGGATGGGCAAAGGTTCAAGCTGCCAAGGTAGCCCATTGCAAGTGTCTTTTTTTTTTTCTTGCTTCAGAGACTTCCTGGCGTGTAAATACAAAGCACCACCATAAAAACTTCTGCCATATGAGCAGTTTGCATGTGTTGTCCTTCATGCAAGTGCTGTTTTCTACATTTGCTAAATTAGATTGGGTGGTGTCTTATTGCCCTTTGTATCCATTGTCCTTGGCTGGGCTCATCTTTGAGGAACAGTCACAGCCAAACCCATAAGAAATTAGTTTGATTAAAAAGACACCACCACCCCCCCACCACCCCCCCACCCCCCCCCCCCCGATCTTTAGATTAGAGATTTATTATCCCTAAAATTAACATGAGAATAAGTGTTTTATGATGGGAGAGCAGCCCTTTGTTTTAGCCATTTGGTTTTGCTAATAGGACAGTTTTACTTAAGAATGCAGACTGTTTTGATGATGGAGTTTTGTGGAACTCTTGAGGATTCAGGGGTTAGGATTAGGCAGGAGTGCTGAGGCAAATCCCCTTCATCCTTATTCTGAGAAGTATGGAAGAGTTTTTCAAGACTGCAGTTTAAAGTCCTGCTAGGCTTAGCTGACATGTTGGATGATTCAGCTATTCTGATACTTTTTTTTCACTTCCCAGCGTTGTGTCTTGGAGATAGAAGTAGTGAGGAGGAGGGGGAGCACTGTGTAGAGGAATGCTGTTCCTGGGGGCGGGAGTGAGCTGGTATTGGAAGTATAGACCTACACCCAGTGAAAATTCTTTTCTTTTGAAAACAAGAATCTCTGAAAAGTAATTTTTCCTCTTCCAGTTAACTGAGCCTTATTTGAAGTGGTTAGGCTGGGTCTGCTGGGCAGAAAGTACATCCATGTGTTCTGCAGAGCCATCCTTTCTGGGAGTTTGCTTGTAGTGCTGATTCTGTTCAGGCTAGCTCATCTTTGGG